TACTTCCTTTAAAAAATTTATATTTATTCTTTATTTTTATTTTATTTTTTGTAGGACTCGCTATTGTAGGGTCTCACTATTGCTCAGGCTGCTCTCGAACTCCTGCCTCAAGCGATCTCCAGCCTCAGCCTCCTAGAGTGCGTAGGATTACAGGCGTGAGCCACCATGCCTGGCTCCTTTTAAAAATTTAAGAGTGATAGGCATATGCCACTACACCCACTTGTCTCCTTTTAAGATTCTACATCAAAATCATTCTAAGGGCTGGGCATGGTGGCTTACACCTGCAATCCCAGCACTCTGGGAAGTGGTACACCTGTAATCCCAGCTACTCGGGAGGCTGAGGCAGGAGGATCGCTGGAGCCCAGGAGTTTGAGGTTGCTGTGAGCGAGGCTGACGCCAAGGCACTCCAGCCAGGGCAACAAAGTGAGACTCTGTCTCATAAATAAATAAACAAACAAAAAATAATAGAGTCTTCCATTGCTGTGTGGAAAAAATGATTATTAAAATACTGCATGTGCCTGAAATGCACCACGGAGGACAAAGAGTTGATAATGGTGTTTTGAACCGGAGAGAAGTTGGCGTTTGGAAATGGGAGAGAGATCCGGAAATCTAGGGGGTGATGGCCTGCCCCAGGAAGAGCTAAGGTGGTAGATTTGAGACCCTGCTTCCCACATCTGTCAAAGACTCTGGAGGAAACCAGTCACTCTGGGGAGAAGGGAGGGACTCGGGACCCCACAGACCGCAGCCCCGTCCACGCACGACCCCCCGCACACTGAGTCGGGACCCTCCCTCGATGACCCTCCCGCCGCCACCGCACAACGTGGGGACACGCGAGGCTGCGGGACACTGCCGGCCAGACAGGTTTCCGGAGCAGAGGTCGCCGCGCAAGGACCGGGCCGGACGGCCGGGGCGGCCCAACCCTGCGGGCCGGAGGGACCGAGGGCCGAGCTGCGCCAGCCGCCACTCCAGTCCGTAGACTCCGGAGCGGACCGCAGGGAGGCCCGGGTCCCAACCAGTCACTCACCATTTCTCGGTTTCCGGGGTCTCCCGGCTTCCTCCCCGCCGCTCCCGCAGCCTGGGCGAGGCACCGCGCGCCTGAGGTAGCGGCGGAGCGCTGAGACGTGGGGACGGAGCATTCCAAGACTTAGATTTGCAACACCTAGGAGTGTTCAGATATGACTAATACTTTAGCAAACCATTTCTTGCCATGGAAATAATTAACTAGTGTATTCATTTTCTGAAAGCAGTGGATACTGCTGGGTTTTCTTGTTGAGTTAGCAAAAGTGCCTTACAATTTCCTTGCTTCTTTTACACATAAACACTGGCTTTGAGTAATTTTGCTGGATTCTTAAAGGTTGTGTTTGTCTCATTTAAAATGATCAGTAGTGGTCCAGAGCCAGGTGACTGGGGAGCTGGGGCCTGAGGTTAGCGATTCCAAGCTAAGGCCACCCTTGACCCTGCAGAGAGAGGTCACTGAAGGACTAGATGATTCTTCCTGGGGAGCCTCCCCTGCAGATGTCCCAGCTGCTCATACTGACCTTGGAGGAGCTTTTTATACCGAGAGAACCTCAGAACTGGAGGTGTTTTCCAGGGGAAAGGATGAAGCCCTTTCTAATTTTTTTTGTTTTTGTTTTTTTGAGACAGTCACACTCTGTCACCCCAGGTAGAGAGCAGTGGCACGATTGTGGCTTACTGTAACAACTCCTGGCCTCAAGTGATGCTCTTGCCCCAGCTCCCAAGTCACGGGGATTACAGGTGTACCACTTCCCAGAGTGCTGGGATTGCAGGGTAAGCCACCATGCCCAGCCCTTAGAATGATTTTATATGTAGAAATCTTAAAAGGAGACAAGTGGGTGTAGTGGCATATGCCTATAGCTCTTAAATTTTTAAAAGGAGCCAGGCATGGTGGCTCACGCCTGTAATCCTAGCACTCTAGGAGGCTGAGGCTGGAGGATCGCTTGAGGGCAGGAGTTCGAGAGCAGCCTGAGCAATAGTGAGACCCTACAATAGCGAGTCTCTACAAAAAATAAAATAAAAATAAAGAATAAATATAAATTTTTTAAAGGAAAGTAATTTAATTAAAAATAAAGATTCTTAAATAGTGAAATAAGCTTTATGTAAATTCATTCATTTTAAATAAATAATGCACATGAAAGTTAAAAAAAAAAAAAAAACAACCATAAGCTAGGAAAGTCGAACTTGAGAATACTCACTGCTAGCACTGGTCCCCTTCAGTGCTCTTGCTCCAGCCATGCCCAAATAGCTAGTCTTGATAATTTCTTGTGCATCATGTTAGTGATTTTTTATATAAAAACACATTATTGCAAATATATATTTTTCTCACTCGTGTATGTTCTTATAATGAATAATCATTCTCAACATTTTTTGATATTTGCTGACAACTCCAACCCCCTCCTCCAGGTTCCCCTAGTGTTGTACACCTGGACAAGCTGAGAAAATCTGGGGACTCCCCTCTGGGCCATGCTCGAGATTCAAACCCTAGAAGCCCCTACCCATGAGGGGAAACTCCTGCTGCCCCACCCCAACCACAAAACCCAGTTCAAGCTCCTTTTCTTGCCCTCTTAAGCCATTTGCCACCTGCTGGAGAGGCCATCCCTGCTCTCCCCAGAGACCACAATCTTGTGAATATCCTCTCAGTGTATGAGTGCCACACTTTCATCAGTTTCAACATCAGAACATTGCCTCTGCAGGTGACCACAGCAGCTGGCATTGTGAGCACGTTGTCCAGACTGTCACCACTCTGTGGGTCTGCCTGCTCTTGCACTGAGTTGGTAACCATCTAGGCTCTGATGGCAGGAATGTACTTTGGGCTGCTGCTCTCTGGGGCGTTGCCTTCAGTGTGCTGCTTTTTATTGCATCGTTGAGCCCCACCAATCCTGGGGTTCAAGATTCCATAATTCTTTGGCATTTGGGAGCAAGAGTTCTCGACTGGGGCCCTCCTTAAAGTAGGACTCTTGGGTGATTGTCTAAGAATTGTCCCTTTATGGTAGCAGAACTCTGGGAACCTCTTACCTCATGGGTACCAAAATATAAATGAAGAGTAATACATGTCTCTAACATTTTTTGTGACACATCTTATTGACACTATAAAACATCCTTGGAAATATCATGAAAATTTAAAAATAGGCATTGGGGAGTCCTTACGGTCTCCTAATGTTCACCTCCCTGGCTCCTCTCCGTCTCATCCTATGGATGACTACTGTCCTGATTCTTTGGTGATTCTTCATACCTTAACCATCTATTGTTTTTCACAAATAGTGTTTTGCCTCCTTTGAACTTTGAATATTAATGAAATTACATTTAAAAGGGTTTTTTTGCCTATTCTTTGCCTTTGTATGTTTTCCACATGCCAATATCTGAGACTGCAGGCCATCTATTCACTCATCAGTTAAAATGGTTCTGGTATTTAGGATTTTTTTGTCCTTAGGGTCTCGCTCTACCACCCAGGCTAGAGTGCAGTGGTGCCATCATAGCTCACTGCAACCCCACACTCCTGGGCTCAAGCAATCCTCCTGCCTTGGTCTCCCAAAGTGCTAGGATTGCAGGTGTGAGCTACCCTTCCTAGCCATATGTTTAGGATTTTTCATGTTTATTTTTGCTTTGAGAAAATACCACCTTTATCAGTCTCCAAGTGGAGATGCACAATAAATTATCTAGAAACTGGATAAAGACTGCTGGCTCTTGGTCAAGTTTAAATTTACAAGAAAAAGCAGTGGAGTGTGTCAATGGACCCTTCCCCCATATGTGCATAACAGTTCTCTATAGTCATCAACCCTAGGGTTATCTAAGTGACTAGTTTTTATCTTTCTAATCAGTATGAAATGGGATCTATTTGCCATTTTATTTATTTCCTAATTAGCAAGGAGATGGACCTTTTTTCATGTATGATGCACTTAGTGCATGGGAATGAGAGAAGCTTAGAACACAGCTTCTAGGGTAGTGTTTGGGTATCATTTCCTCCTGAAATTGGAAAAAGAAGATTTTATGTTCCTTTAGTGGAAAGCACTCCTGAACCCTTTAATTAAATTTTATAATCATGGGCAAATTCACCATCAGTCATTGTAGATACCAGGGAAGTCCCTTGCAAATTGATACTCTTAACCCGTTTCTCAAGGTCAGCAATGCCCAGATTACACTGTATGGATCTACCAGAAAGTGCTCTTCTGACATCTATGTCAGTGTCTGTGTTGGCTAAAAATTGGTTGGAAGCAGCTGAGGCTCATGAGTTACACGGATTTTGTGAAGGTCCTAGATGTCAGGTCTTCTTCCTTGTGCCTGAACTCTATCTTCCCAGTAATTTTCTACTCCCTTGAAGTAAAAGGAAAAACTGAATGTTTGATAAATATTACACAAACAAGTTGAATTTAATGCTCTTCTAAAAGAATATTTTCATTTGGCCGGCTGAATCTGAGTACTTCTATGGACTCAAGTACTGCAGGACAATATGGTGAAATAAACCTTGTTACATGTTGGATTTGCACAGGCCTCTTATGGCCTGTGCCTCTTATGTATAATGAAGGGAATAGAAGAAAAAACCAGTACTGGTTTTCAATGTGTAATTATTCATTAAGACCTCATCCCAGTTTGATCCTGTACCTCATGGAGTGCTGAGTGATCTGGGTAATAAGAAATGAGATAAAATATGGATGTTTTTCGTCAGTAGGCCAGCGTGGTGGTTCACCACCTGGTATCTAGAGCTCATGGTGAGGGCCTACGGCGGGCGGATGCTCAAGGTCAGGATTTCAAAACTAGCCTGAGCAAGAGTAAGACCCTGTCTCTACTAAAACTAGAAAGAAATTAATTGATCAACTAAAAATATATCTACAAAAAATTAGCTGGGCATGGTGGCACATGCCCGTAGACCCAGCTACTTGGGAGGCTGAGGCAGTAGGATCGCTTGAGCCCAGGAGATTGAGGTTGCTGTGAGCTAAGCTGAAGCCACAGCACTCACTCTAGCCTGGGTAACAAAGTGAGACTCTGTCTCAAAAAAAGAGTTTCTCATAATGAATTGATGATCTTAAAATTTATTTCACTTGTATAGGATTTCTCTTATTTCTCCAAGTTGAACTGGACACACCATTAAAGAGCAATTAGACTTGTAGTGACTAGAGTAAAAATATAGATCAAAATCTACATGTTCAAGGTGCTGTTAAGCTTATAAGGAAGTGATTGTGGATAAAGACTTAAAGTTCTGAAAACCAAGTTGAGTGGAGACCACAGAATTATACATGAACCTGTAAATTGAATATATATCTCTAGTGCTGTCAGTCTCACCCATTGTCCTGTACATGTGGGATGTTTTAGGACTCCGTAGCTTTTGAGGATGTGTCTGTGAACTTCACCCAGGAAGAGTGGGCTTTGCTGGATCCTTCACAGAAGAAACTCTACAAAGATGTGATGCGGGAAACATTCAAGAACCTGGCCTCTATAGGTAAGGATGATGTCATTTCTTCACCTAGTCAATTAGGGAAGAAGTGTTTCTTCTTTATCATCACTATTCCAAGATTTGGAATATGAAAAGGAAATAGTTTGGTAAATGAACCAGACATGGTCACAACTTATAATGGACCTAGAATCTAATAATTTCTCTATAATTTATTTTATTTTATTTTTGTTTTGCGACAAAATCGCACTCTCTTGCCTGGGCTAGAGTGCCATGGCGTCAGCCTAGCTCACAACAACCTCAAACTCCTGGGCACAAGCAATCCTTCTGTCTCAGCCTCCCGAGTAGCTGGGACTACAGGCATGCACCACCATGCCTGGCTAAATTTTTCTATATATTTTAGTTGGCCAATTAATTTGTTTCTATTTTTAGTAGAGACAGGGTCTCACCAGCTCAGCTGGGTTGTCGACTCCGAGGACCGTTGATGCGATGCTCCCCCTAGGGCCTCTCAGAGTGCTAGGATTACAGGCATGAGCCACCATGCCCGGCCATCATCATTTATAATGATTATTCTGGATTTACATTTTAGGGAAAAAATGGGAAGACCAGAACACTGAAGATCAGTACAAAAATCAGGAGAGAAATCTAAGGTGAGTTGCACTCACAAGAGATAGCAGTATCCCTCGAAAGAATCTTAGTTTGCTGTGAAATTTTTAAGACAAGCAAACAAAACAAGCCCAGCTTCACGTGTATTTATTCTCAGAAAATTGTTACCAAAAATGTTTTCTTAAATGACATAGATGTTCAGTGTTTGAAAAATATCATCCTTGGAAAGAGTGTTTTAAAACCCCACATTATCAATATGGCATTGATAATAGCTATAGATGAAATCTCTTGCAGAACATTGAATATATTCATTTTCAAACAATTCAGGCAGGGCAGGAAACATACAGTTTCCCTGAAAATGATAAAAAGCTAATTCTGCTACCTAGTAATAAATATAAAAGCATTAAGAGACAACCATTATTAACATGCTTCTAATTTTTTTTTACAGAAGCCATATGATTGAGAGACTCTGTGAAAGTAAAGAAGGTGATCAGTGTGGAGAAACCTTCAGTCCAAATCTCACTTTGGCAAAGCAGACTACTGAAGTAAAACCATATGAATGTAGTGTGTGTGGAAAAGCATTCATGCGTCGTTCATCCCTTACAAGACATGTGAGGTCTCACACTGGACTCAAACTAGATGAGAAGCCATATAAATGTAAGGAATGTGGGAAAGCCTTTAGTTATCTCAAATCTTTTCAAAGACATGAAAAGTCTCACACTGGAGAAAAACCTTATAGATGTAAACAATGTGGAAAAACCTTCATATATCACCAACCCTTTCAAACACATGTACGGACTCACACTGGAGAGAAACCCTATCAATGTAAGCAATGTGGCAAAGCTCTCAGTTGTCCCAGTTCTCTTCGAATTCATGAAAGAATTCACACTGGAGAAAAGCCCTATGAATGTAAGAAATGTGGGAAAGCATTCAGTTGTCCCAGTTCTATTCGAATACATGAAAGAACTCACACTGGAGAGAAACCCTATGAATGTAAGGAATGTGGCAAAGCCTTCATTTCCCACACAAGTGTTCAAACACACATGATAACACACAATGGAGATAGACCTTATAAATGTAAGGAATGTGGGAAGGCATTCATTTTTCCCAGTTTTTTACGAGTACATGAAAGAATTCACACTGGAGAGAAACCCTACAAATGTAAACAATGTGGTAAAGCCTTCAGATGTTCCACTTCCGTTCAGATTCATGAAAGAACGCATACAGGAGAGAAACCTTATAAATGTAAGGAATGTGGGAAATGCTTCAGTGCTCGTCCAGCCTTTCGAGTACACCTGAGAGTGCATACTGGAGAGAAACCCTATCAATGTAAAGAATGTGGGAAAGCCTTTAGTCGTACCAGTTACTTTCGAATACATGAAAGGACTCACACTGGAGAAAAACCATATGAATGTAAAAAATGTGGTAAAACCTTTAATTATCCTCTAGATTTGCAAATACATGAAAGAAATCACACTGGAGAAAAACCCTATGAATGTAAGGAATGTACAAAAGCCTTCATTTCTCTTGAAAACTTTCGAAGACATATGATAACGCATACTGGAGATGGACCCTATAAATGTATGGAATGTGGGAAAGCATTCATTTTTCCTAGTGCATTACGAACACATGAAAGAACTCATACTGGAGAGAAACCCTATGAATGTAAACAATGTGGAAAAGCCTTTAGTTGTTCTGGTTATGTTCAAATACATGAAAGAACTCATACTGGGGAGAAACCCTATGAATGTAAGGAGTGTGGGAAAGCCTTCATTTATCCTACAAGCTTTCAAGGACACATAAGAATGCATACAGGAGAGAAACCCTATAAATGTAAAGAATGTGGGAAAGCATTTAGTCTTCACAGTTCCTTTCAAAGACATGAAAGAATTCACAGTGGAGAGAAACCTCTTGAATGTAAACAATGCGGAAAAGCCTTCAGTTTGTCCACATCCTTAAAAAAACATGCAAGAATGCACATTGGATAGAAACCCTACAAATGTGAGAAGAAGGGGAAAGTTTTTAATTTTAATAAGCACTGTCAAATTTGTGAAAATTCCCACTATAGAGAAATCCTATAGATGTAATTAACGTGGAAAGCTAGATGCAAGGTAATTCATGGACAGTCAGATGCCACATAATGAAAACCACATAGACAATACTGGTCCCATAAGATTATAATAGAGCTGAAATTTTTCTATCACCTAGTGATATAGCAGTTGTGACATCACAATAGAAGACATTACTCAAGTCTTTGGTGTTGCTGTTGTAAACAAACCTGCATTTCCAGTTGCGTGAAAGTATACCACATATTATATGCAAGACATGACACATGGTGATAAGTGACTATATTACTGGCATATATATTTACTATACTTTGTTATTTTAGAATATAACCTATTTATTAAAAACAAAAAAGTTAACTGTAAAACAGCCTCAGGCAGGTCCTTCAGGAGATAATCCAGGAGGAATTCTTATCATAGGAGATGACAGTTCCATGTGTATTACTGACCCTAGACAACCCTCCAGTTGTCCAACTGGAGACCTTCCAGTTGGACAAGATAAGGAAGTAGAAGATGGTGATATTAATGGCCCACACCCCATGTAGGCTTAGGCTACGTGTGTGTGTCTTCATTTTAACAGAAAAGTTTACAAAGTTATATATGTTGCAAAATATTTAGTAGAAAACATAATAAGTCTGTAAAATAGGAAAATATTTTTGTACAGCTATACAATGTATGTTTTAAGTGTTATTACAAAACAGTCAAAAAGTTTAAGGAATCTTAAAGCTTATAAAGTATTAATCAAGGAGTTACTGTAAGCCAAGCTTAATTTTACTACTTCAGAAGGAAAACTATTTTTTTATAAATGTAGTGTAACATAAGTATACAGTGTTTATAAAGTCTACATTAGTGTACAGTAATGTTCTAGGCCTTCACAATCCCTCACTAATTCACCCAGAGCAACTTCCAGTCCTCAAACTCCATTCATGATAAATGCCCTATATAGGTATACCCTTTTTTTTATGTTTTATGCTGTATTTTTCCTGTACCTCTTCTATGTTTAAGTATGTTTAGATACACAAATACTGTGTTGCAATTGCCTGCAGTATTCAGTACAGTGACATGCTGCTAGCAACAGCTCTACCATACAGCCTAGGTTTATAGTAGGTTATACCATCTAGGTCTGTGTAAGTATACCCCATGGTGTTTGCACAAAGACGAAATTGCCTAATGATGGATTTCTCAGAATATATCCCCATTGTTAAGCAGTGCATGACTGTATAATGCTCCAGAAAAATCACAACTTGAAGAAAATGTTATGAAAGTCAAAAATATTTTTATCAGTTGCTCATTATTAAGGTTCATCTCTGGACTATGGACTGCTACTTCTTACTTTTGCAAGGAAGCTTTGAAGTGAGATAGTTCTGTAGATACTATTAAGCAATAGTCCAAGCGTTTAAAAGGTGGTGTTTTCTCATGAAATCAATAAACTTTTTTCTCTATTTTGACATCTGGATCCATGGGTGAATTGAAGTGTATTTTTAATATACAACTAGGTTTGATATTTATATCATTTTTCAATTCTCTAAGAGCTCATTGAAAAATGACACATTGGTAATTATGGGATTTTTCCTGTTGGCCTTGTGCAGAAGGTAATGGATATATATCTTAGCCATTATATATATTCCACCTTTGTTTTGAGAAAAACCTTTTAAGTTTTTTGGCCAGAATGTCCTTATTCCATTTCCCTTTTTCTTAAATATCTGGCATAAACTCATAAGTATGCAAAGTTTATCATAAAGTACAGTCTCATGTGAATTATACTCACCTTTGTTCTTTATTATTCCTTCTGACTTGGATTCGGACAATAGAGTTTGAATTAAGAAGAGACATCTGTGGGCCTCTTAGAGGCCCCACCTGCAAATGGAAGCACACTAGGGGTTAGAGCTTAAACATAAGAATTTGGTAGGGGGGACACATTTATTCCATAACATTCCATCCCTGGCCCTCAAAATTCATGTGCCTTCCCACATGCAAAATACATATATTGCATCTCAACATCCCTGAAAGTCTGGACTCGTTCCATTATCAACTCTATAAAGTTCAAAATCTCATCTAAATGCATATATAATACCTCAAGTCTCACCCATACCTGATTTGGGTGAAAGGCTTGAGATACAATTCATCCTGAGACAAAGTTCCTCTCACAGTGAACCAGTGACACCAGACAAGTTATGTACTTCCAAAATAGAATGTTGACCTAGCAAGGCAAATTCCATTAGATCTTAAGGCTTGAGAATGATCCTCTGGGTTCAATGCTCTGCCTTCCATGTCCAGTGGTGGTGCTGCCTGCTTCTTCAATTGAACGAGGCGACCCTACTCACCTGGCTCTCTGTGAGTGGAGCCCCACACCTGAGACACTTGAGAGCATTCTGGCCTTCTGAAACCAAAGAGGCAATCCCGACCCTTTGAATCTGAGAAGGAACTGTCCCTTGCCCCCAGGTCCTATGGTAGGAGCAACAATCCTGATGATCGAATGCGCAGGCGCAGGACGGGCTGCGAAAGCATCTCGAGGGAGGGGTGGGGCAGAAGCAAGGGAAGCCTTGCCCACACCCAGAACTCAATAGCTTCTGGCCTTTTCTCCCCCCTTCCCAAGCTTTGGTGCGAGCTCCTGCCTTTGGCAGTGGTGGCCCTCTGGCTTGTGGTGACAATATACAAAGAAAGGCCCTGGAGACGATGGTGACCCTGCAGTGGGCTGACCGTGCAGAAGCTGGGGCACTTAAAAGAGATCACAGTGGAGGAAGGACATGGCGCTGAGTGAGGAGGTAGACACCTGCCCTCAGTTCACTTACAAAGGGAAGGCGAAGTAACAGGGTTAGGTAGTGAGGGATGCATTCTGGAAGCATTTATAGCCTCGTGAGGGGCTGGAACAAAACAACTCCAGCCATTTGGGGCCCCAATCTCCTTAGCTTCCAGTTTTATCGGTTTTTATAGCATTGGAGTTATTTTACTGTGAGCGCTCAGCAAGTGTGAAGCCCCCTTCCTATCAGACCTGCTGAAGGTCCCTCCTTTGGGAATTAGTTGGAGAGCCAGGAGACACACCCCACCCCACCCCCACCCCACCCCCCGCCACAGGGGATGGGAACAATTTACTCCGTGAAGATCAAATGGAGGTGGGCCCATGATGACGCCCCTCTGTGACCCTGCGCCCTGAGATTTGTTATTAAGTATTGATCTCCTGATTTCCTCCAATTATTAAGTATTGATCTCCAACAGTCCTGCTAGTGCTTCAGGGGACCAGGCTGAAGAAATATTCCTGTCCCCTTGAAGCTGACATTCTAGGAGACAAGAAACAAGAGCTCCAAGTAAAATATGCACGGTATCAGATGATGCTTAGTCCTAAGGAGGGAGAGGAAGCTGAAGGAAGCTGCATCATGGAAGGAAAGCAGAGGCCTGGGCTGTATGTGTCTCTGGGAACACCTGTTGGTGTCGCCCTCTGTCAGAGCTTGGGCCACTAACTCTGAGGGACTGTGAGCTTGTGTTTATCTGAGTGAGTCCACCAATATGTCCCAGTGACAAATTCCATCCTTGTGTATGTCTGGGAAGGTTCACGTGTCCGAGTGGTGGTCCCTGTGTCCTGATGTGAGTGTGTCTGTCTGTGTGTCTCACTGCCAGGCCGTGGTGTGTTTCCCAGTCCGTACGTAGAGAAACCCAAAGCCACAACAGGCCTGATTGAACTTACATGCAAGTTGTATTTAGCCTTTAAGAAGTGGATAGCTATTGTAACATTTAATTCTCCCAAAACATATCATAAAGTAGAAGCTTTGCAAATATTTGTATTAAGTTTTATGAGCTCCGGTATGTTCTTAGACGGCTAAATCCTAAATTAACAACATGGCATACCTTGGCAATAACAGTCCTCGTCATAGAATTTTCTTACATCTAAATATCTTCCCAAAGATACTGATTTTCACTCCACTGGCCTCCTGTGGAAAGTCGACAGGAGATTGAAGTCCCCAGGGTATCCAATTGGGAACCTCCCTGTACCACCAGGACCGGTGCTCCTGTGCAGAATTGGAAACCTTTCCCCAGGTGCTTCACATAACCAAGCACCAGCGCAGGACCGTGGCCGTGTCCAAGGAGCCCACCCTGGGACCCTGGGTCTTACTGCTCGACCCAGGTTGTCCTTAAAAGGGTTTTTTTCAGGGGGGGGAGGGGAAGGCAGTGTCCAGTGAATGGGCCCCACAGGAACTGCAGCTGGGCACTGAGTGCCATCCGTCGGCCTCTCTGCCCTTCTGAGCCTGTGTCCCACCTTAAGAGGACTTAGAAAAAATTTCAGCTATGGTACCCCATGTCAGCCCAGGACCTCCCTGGCCACGATCTTGGCCCCAGGAGGGGGACCTAGAAAAATTTTCAGATGGCACTCTCCATAGCCAGGCAAGTGGCCGAGCCCGGGGTGCTCTAGCCCCATCACCTGCAAAAGCACAAGTCGGTCCCCACGGGCGGAGGGGACCTCCGTGAGCTAGTCAGGCAGCCTGCACAATTCCCAGATGCTGCTCGCCCCGCTTCTAAAGCATCGGTCTCACGGAGCCCGTACTGAGGCAGCGCATGTCGCCTCCGAGATGACCGTGCTGTCGCCACCAGCCTCCTGGAATTTAATCCTGGGCCCCGCAGCCTGATCCTGTCCCCCAGCTTTTGACAGCTGAGCCCCAGGGACGCTATAAAAGTGGCCACCAGGGGGCGCCCGACAATGAGTGTGATCGTGACAGACCTGGACACCCAGAAGCCACCTCGTCCAGGTGACACTTCAACTTGAATCTCGGCCAATAGCAGTTACAGGGTGACCTGGTGGGCCTGCAGCACCCTCCACGGAGCTCCCTGAATCGCCAGGCTGATGCCAGCATCCAGAGGGGGGCTCAGAAAATTTTCAGGAGGTGCCCCAGTGACCAACCCCACGTGGGACTGTGACCAGGCCTCCCTGGCCATCCCGAGTCAGTCTCCGGAGAGGCTTAAAAACATTTTCGTGAAGCACACCTAGCAACTGAGCCCCACGCGGGATCATGACTGGGCTCAACCACTCTCCAAGTGGTCCCGGTCTGCCCCACTACTGTCTCTCTCTGGAAGAGGACCCAGAAATGTTTCAAGTGACATGATGCAAACATGGGACCACAGCTGTGCCTGGGCCCCCTCCCTTGGCTAGCTTTCTGACCCAGATTCGTCCCCACCAAAAAAGGGGGACTTAAGCACCTTTTAAGTGGGCACCTCAGAAGACAGTGCCCTAAACAGGACCACAGCTGGCTTCGGGACAGTCTCCTCAGCCTCACTGGCCACTCGGGCTGGTCCAGGATTCAGAGGGGTACTTAGAAATGTTTTAGGGGGATGCATCCAATGACCAGGCCCTAAGCAGGTCACTGAGAAGACCCAGGGCACCCTGCCCCCAGGTCTCCCTGGGTGGCCTGAGCCCATCTTTCCTTGTAGAGGAGGCTTAGAAAATATTGGAAACCATTGGGACGCACGTCCTCGATCCAGGCTCTGAGTCACCCCATGGGCATTTATGTCCAGCCTGGGCCAGTCATGGCCTAGTGAGAGGGATTTCAGAATCTTTTCAGGAAGGAATCTTTTTTTTTTTTTTTTTAGATAGAGTCCTCGCTTTGTTGCCCAGGCTAGAGTGAGTGCCATGGCGTCAGCCTAGCTCACAGCAACCTCAAACTCCTGGGCTCCAGCAATCCTCCTGCCTCAGCCTCCCGAGTAGCTGGGACTACAGGCATGCGCCACCATGCCCGGCTAATTTTTTGTATATATATTTGGCCAATTATATATATATATAGTTGGCCAATTATATGTATATATAGTTGGCCAATTAATTTCTTTCTACTTATAGTAGAGACGGGGTCTCGCTCAGGCTGGTTTTGAACTCCTGACCTTGAGCAATCCGCCCGCCTCGGCCTCCCAGAGTGCTAGGTTCAGGAAGGAATCTTAAAGACCGCCACCCAAGCAGGACAGGGACAGGTCAGTGCGTCCCGACCCAGCCTGAGCCCACGTCCCCTCACACGGTGGAAGAATACAATGTCCAGGGCACATCAGAATGGCATCCAGGTCACGGTCACAGCCCCAGGACATACTGGTCCATCTGGTCTTGTCCACATCACCAGAGAGGATGAGAAAGGATTTTTTACATGGCATTTTCTGGCATTACCAGAAAACAAAAACAAAAGCCACACAAACAAAAAGGAAGAAATGCTTTTGGTTCATGCTTCCTTAATTAAACAGGTTCCCACCCAACACCATTGTCATGGCCCCAAGGCCCCCACCCCAGAGCTCCTTGGCTGGCCCTGGCCTGTCCACACTGACTAGGACATAGAAATGTTTTAGGGGGGATACTTCTGTTGACAGAGCCCTAGGTGGGACAGTGACGAGGCTGAAGGTGTGTTTCTTAGGCCTCCATGTCTGGCCCAGGCCTGTCCTGGCTTCCATAGGTCATAAAAACTTTTCAGGGTGTGATCCCATGACTCTGAG